CCAGCACGGGGAGCGGAGGCCTGGGCGTTGCTCCCGCGCCTCGCTCGGCCGGTGGGCGGGAGCCGGTCTGTACATGGGATCCGAACCCTCGGACGGGAGCGCCGCCGCGCTTCCCAAGCGGCGCACTATCCAGTGCGCCACCGGGCCGGCCCGAGTATTGGGTTTTTTGGGGGGGTTTTTTTTGGGTGCTGATTTGGTGGACAAAAAAAAATATCATTTGTGTTTCATTTATTTGAAATTATGTGATTATTAGTAAGAATGAAATTTGTATTTCTTTTGGGAATTGCTATTCATACGTTTATCCATTTCAACATAAATGCTTTAAATTTAGTTGTAATTTTCTCTATTTAGTTTGGGACTTATTAAAATAGAGAAAAAAGAAATTTTATTTGTTATAGTCACTTTAGGGTCTTTATCTATAATTTATTTTTTGTATTCAGAATAGTTTTTTGCACAGTTTTTGAATGTGTTAATTTACATTTCCTTCTCACAATGTTTCTCTGTGAATGGCCGTATTTTAACTTTACATGTAGTTATTTTTTTTTTTCCTTTTTTTTGTCTTTTTTCATGTCCAGCAACGGATCGCAACCCTCAGTGTCGCGTCCGTACCGGACCGGGACCGGCAACGGGATCGCAACCCTCGGTGTTGCGCCCGCACCTCGCTCAGCCAGTGAGCGGGAACCGGTCTGTATGTGGGATCCGAACCCTCGGCAGGAGCGCCACCACGCTCCCAAGAGGCGCACTGTAGCAGTGCACCACCGGGCCGGCCCTACATGTAGTTATTTAATGTTGTAATAGCTGTTTGAGTAATACTATGTATTTGACAGAATACTTTCATATACATAATTTCGCGGCAGCTCATGAGGTTAGTTGTATTTTGGAGTTGAGGAAACTAAGTCTCTGAGAGGTTAGGAAACGTGCCCAAATGTCTGTGCGCTTCTTGGATAATAATACAAAGAGCAGGGAGTCTCAGGCTCAAGGTTGGCCCCACTGATTCATTTAATTAGTTCTCGTTATCTGTCTTATTGGCTGCAAAATGAAGATGGGTCTTTCTCCTTTCTGTATTAGCAGGTAACATCTAAAAGTTAATTATGTTCTTAGATAATAGCTGTGTTATTATTTTTTTAATCTAGAAATGAACACAGAAGCAGAACAACAGCTTCTCCATCATGCCAGAAATGGCAATGCTGAAGAAGTAAGGCAGCTGTTGGAAAACATGGAGAGGAATGAAGTAATTGCTGATATTAATTGCAAAGGTAATCTTTGAATGGGTTTTTAAGCTTTTTCTTATGGGTCCGCACTATTGTGTTATTTATTTAACACTAATCTTTTGGATCTTGCACATAGTAAATCTCCATCTCTTGTCCTAGGAAGAACCCCCACAAGATTGAGTGAAACATTTCTCCTAGTCCCCTCTAAGTCAGGGAAATCGAGATACATTCTTAAAATTGTTATGGATTGTAAAACTTACAAGCTACAAGGGTGTCTCTGAGCCCGCAATATTCATTCTGTGGTAACTTTTTTCCTTCTCAAAGAAATCACAGTTGAACTAGCAGGTTTGAGTGTTTACTGTATACCCAACATATAATGTACCTCGGAGATAATGATTAAGAGACAGACAAGAACCCTGCCCTCATTGAGATTAATCTACTAGATTAATAGATGAGACCAGTCTACATTACAAAATATGTGCCAGGATATGGAAGTGCAGGTGTCATGGGACCATGGAGGAGAGGTATGTGACTGGAACTGGAAGGATTAGTGTTTTGGAGGAAATGATTCTAAGGTGATATGTGAGAGAGTGTGTAGGAGTTAGCCAGGTGAAGAGGGAGCAGAAAAAGTTTCAAGGCAGAAGGAACGTGATATGCCAGGGCCTGAGGTGAGAGGCAGCATAGAGGGGCCTGCAGGCAGTATAGATGGGCCTGCAGGCTGGAGTGGGGAGGGGGGAGTGAGGCTGGGTAAGGTGGGTAAGTGGCACCCAAATGATAATGTGCCTTCTGTAGTGAGGTTGCAAATATATTACAACCTTACACTGAGATGTGCGGAGAAATAGAACTTTTTCTCTAAAATGGCTCTGGTATTTTAACAAGCCCCTTCACACATTCTGGGAGGTGAGGGGGGGGAGAGTAAATATTAGTCTTTGGGTACCTCAGTCTTAGTAGCCCCCCCCTTTTTTTTTTGACCAGTAAGGGGATCGCAACCCTTGGCCTGGTGTTGCCCGCACCACGCTCAGCCAGTGAGTGCACCAGCCACCCCCATATAAGATCCGAACCTGTGGCCTCGGCGCTACCAGCACCGCACTCTCCCGAGTGAGCTATGGGGCCGGCCTTCGGTAGCCCTTTTAATAAATGCTTGGTCTCCCCTAAATTGGCATTTAAGTATAAAGGTGTGCCCTGCTTGTTTGTGCAGTGGAGGCAAGGTGTCCTCAAAGCCATGAGGTCGGCTTTGGTTCCTCAGTGACTCTTGTCTTCCTAGTGCTCCTTAAGCGTTTGTAGCTGGAGTGAAGCTCAGGTACAGAGTCAAACCAGAGCACTCAGTTTGTCATACAATATAGGTGGTGTTCCATGGCTGTCTCAGGAGACTCACGTTGGCTGTTGGATTTTTTCACTGTGAGCCTGTCACACCTTCCTCCGGCACCTGGCCTTAGCTTGCTGGTTCAGCTCAGCCACATGCCTGTTCCTCTCTTGGGAGGGCAGACTGTGGGAACTTAGTGATATGTGGGACCTAGAGCAGCTCTGGTTAGCCAAAATTTAGCCTTCCCTCTAGGTTCACTACAGAGTTTGCTTTGATATGTACACCTTGCAGGTGGGTGCTAGGACAGGTGGCCTGCCAGGGGATCTTTTCTTAGCATCCCAGATGCAGCTTGCCTGTTCTCAGTTTCCCCTCAATTTATCTCACTTTCTGGACTTAAGTTCAGGAGCCTCATGTTTCATCTTCTCGTTTTTCTCTCCCCTAGTCTTTTTGTCCCCAAAAGGGCAGATTTCAGACAGATATTTTATTCCTCTTTGTCACGTTCTCTTCTTGTCCTAGAGCAACAAATCTCATGGCTTCACCCCTGGTGGGGAAGAAACTGTGATCTGAGTTGTCTGGAAACTATAGTCTGAGTTGTCTGAAGGAATTTAAAAATTTCTCCCCATCCTTCAGCAAAAACTGGCTCTTAATTTTTACCTCAGGATTCCGTTTTGAATATGGTAATCCTTAGTGACCCTTTTCTATCTACCCCTCCCACTTCCACTCATGCCTGCCTCAGGCTAATTAGTGGAAGGTCATCTACTTGGAAATATAAAACTGAGAAATATATGTTAATGTTTTTTCAAAATTTTACTTCCTTATACCTGTCAGTCAGACTTTGTCTTAAGGGCAATTTGAAGGGTTTATGCAGAAGAGTGACATAATCAGATGACATGCAGTTCTCTGACCAAGGAGGGGTGGGCAAGACTGGATGCGAATAGTATTTCCTTCCATGTGGGAATTCCTTCCTGGCATTCCTTGGTTTTCTTTTCTTATTTCTTTTTTCACATTCTGAGAAATTGGGAAAATGGTATAAAGTACTATAATTCTCCTGCAAGAATTAAAGCTTAACGATCAGCATAGAGATGTTACTGGTTGGAAGAAATCCACTGATGTCAGGTTGAAAGGGGGAGAAAGAAGCACTGCCATGCAGAGGTGATGAAGGTTAAGGTCAACATTTCTAGGGTCTAGGAAAGGAGAATCTAATTAGTTCTGCCTGTAGCTGTTGCCGTGTTATAGGTGTGTGCTTACAGTTCTGTCTGATGTTAATGTGAGTCATTCTTGCAAATATTAATTTATACATTTAATTGACCCATAATAATTGTACTTATGTACTTATGAACTACAATGTGATATTTGGGTACATTTATACAGCGTGCAGTGATTATATCAGGGTATTTAAGCATATCTGTCACCTCAAACATTTGTAACCTCTTCATGTTGGGAAAATTCAAAGTTCTCTCAACTAGCTACTTGAAGTTCTACAGTAATTTGTTGACTGTAATCTCCCTGTATTGCTATAGAACACTAGGTCTTATTCTTCTCATCTCTACAGTTGACCACCCTCTATTGACCACCCTCTCCCCATGCCCCCCAGCCTCCCCACCCATCATTCTCTAGTAATCACTATTCTACTCTCTATTTCTATAAGGTTAACTTTTTTAGCTTCCACATGTGATTGAGAACATGTGGTATTTCTCTCTGTGTGCCTGGCTTATGTCATTTAACATTTATTCTCCAGGTTCATCCATGTTGCTGTGATTGGCAGAATTTCATTCTTTGTTATGGCCGAGTAGTATTCCATTTTGTATACGTACCACATTTTCTTTATCCAGTCATCCGCTGATGGACATTTAGGTTGATTCTAACTATTGGCTGTTATAAACAGAGCTATGATGAACATGGGAGTGCAGGTATCCTTTCAACATGATGATGTCCTTTCCTTTGGGTATATACCCAGTAGTAGGATGGCTGGATCATATGGCAGTTCTGTCTGTGGTTTGAGAATCTCCATACTCTTTTCCATAGTGGCTTACTTTATATAAATTCTGTGAGTGATTATCTAAGAAATAATAAGTTGGAAACAAAATAGGTATTTGTATTGGCCATCTCAAAAAGATTCTGTGTAGTGCTGTCACTTTGCTAGGAGGTCCGAATGTAAAGTTATTTGAATATTATCCAATAATACTAGTATCTTCTGGTGTTTTCCAGTATTTAAAAATTCTATATGTATAGGGTACCATTCTTTGTAAATACTCCAAAACTTAATATTTCTTATTAAAATATTTTATTTTTATTTTTTTTTCCTTTTTTTTTTGTCTTTTTTCGTGACCAGTAACGGGATCGCAACCCTTGGTGTCACACCCACACCACGCTCAACCAGTGAGCGGACCGGTCTCTATATGGGATCCGAACCCTCGGCGGGAGCGCCGCCGCACTCCCAAGCGCCGCACTCTACCGAGTGCGCCACCAGGCCCGGCCCAATATTTTACTTTTTAGATGTCCATGATAAGTAGCAAACATATGAAGACTGTATGAAGCGTTTTAGGACTAATTTAAGATTTTGGAAATTTTGATTTCTTTATCCAGAATCCCATTTGGAAACATTAGATGTGAGGAGACCAGTCCAGAAGCTGTTATAGTAAGTTAGAGAAGATATGTGGGTTGGGGACAGGGGGCGGGGGGCAGAAGCAGTAGGGATGAAGAAAAGTAGATGCAATTAATATTTAGGAGGTAGGATTAGTAGCACTGATGGCGAGGAGGGGACTGTGAGAAGGAGAAAGCAGGAGGAGCTGCTGATGTTCGGGGTGAATGATGGGGCAGTCGACTCTGACACATGCGTGGGAGGGGAATGGGTGGTGCGGTGTATGTGTACATAGGATGAAAGATAAGTTTCACTTTGTGCTCTGAGCATGCAGTGCCATTGTGTCCTCCCCGTGGAGGTGTCTAGTGGAGAGGTGCAAGTGCACATACTGGATTTGGAGTCAACAGCATGTAAACAAAGCACTGGGAGAGAGCCAGCAAATACCATTTTTGAAGTTAATAGTAATGGACTAGTCAGAAAAAACAGAGCTGCCAAAGGATTCTGAGAAGTGTCAGAGATGTGAGAGTGAGCCCACAGAGTGTGGGGCTGTGGCGGATCATGGTCCCTGCTGTCCTGGATGGCACAGTGGTAAAGGGAGGAGGTGGCAGCAGAAAGGGGTCCCTGGAATTTGGTGACAGCATTTACTGATAAAAATTGAGGAGTGTCAGTGACATGGTGGGAGATGAGCCTAGTCTGCAGTGGGTGGGTAGTTGATAGGAAGGAATGAGGTGGAAGAACCCAGTAAAGAGTTGAAATGGGAAGGGACAGTGAGGAGGACGGTAGCTGGTAGGGAGTGGGGGTGGGAGAAGGAGTTTGTTTTTGCTTGTCAGATGGGAGACTCCAAAGTTTATCTGTTCCTTCCTATTAGCAGCTGAAGAGGGAGAGGTTAGATATAGGAGGAAAAGGAGTGCCTGAGAAGCAACAAGGGGTGGGATCCAGGATCCAGGAACAGCAGTTGGTCTTAGACATCAGGAGGGAAGGGTGACAGAATGCACATAGATATCAGTAGGGTGGCAGATCTGGTGCCAGAAGCCCAGGGGATTCTATGAAAGCATCTGTTTTCACTATGAAGCTGAAAGATGTCATTTGCTATGGGAGCAGTGTCTGGGTAAAAGGCATGAGTCAGAAAATAGTGAAGGATTGAAACTCCCTTTGTGGAATATAGGAGAGACACCTGAGCAGGGTGTTATGAAAAGGGTTGCCCAGCTGAGGTGTGGAGTCCTGACTTTATGGGGCCATAAATACAGCCTCTGCTATTTTTCCTTACCGTTGTTTAGCAACCTAGGTGTGATTATAGAGAAACTGCGCTAGTGTATTTATCAGGCTTTAGGTTTTTCTGAGCTGCTGTGACAAAGATAGTGAAGCAAAGATATTGACAAGAAATGAAGTGAGGGATCAAGGAATATATGCCAGATTTAAGATTTCATGTATTTACATAATGAAAGCGATTAAAGAGCAGAGGGCTGAGTAAGCTGAGATCAAGTCTGGGGGAATACTTGCATGAACAACCAGGAAAGTTGGGAGTCTGTGGGAAGGTGGCTCTCTGTGTGGTGAGTCCAGGGATGATGATGGCACACAGGCTCTGGCTCCTGCAGGGAGCACCAGACATTGAGCAGAGGTACAGTTTGTGAGAAATGGAGGAAACTGAGAGACCTGGGTGCTGAAGAGGCAGTAGACCCCCCTAGGTTGGTAGCAGGATTTTCAGTGGCAAGAAAGGCTGTGTTGCCCAAGGTTACTTGGTGAGGGGTATGCTGCTGGGAGGCTGGCAGGGAAAGCACTTGAGGGAACTGTGGCTTATGACAGAAGTCTCAAAGGAGGGGTTGTAGTGTGAGTGAGGAAGTCACTGACAAATTGGCAGTGGGCTTTGATGCAGACAGTCACACGGCGTGTATCCAGGGAGGTACAGTGGCGCTGCAGGGCTGGGGGCAGTGAGGGGGCATTACTGTCATCAGGAAGAGCTGTTTCACTTAAGAACAGAAGGTAGAAGAAATGTTCAGTGAAACGGACTAGGCTGTGGGATTTACTGACTGTGTAATTAGGGCTCCAGTGTGCACACATTTGGGAGGAAACAGATAAGGAAATGGCAGACTGTCACAGGGCAGTGGTGGCAGTGGTAGTCCCTTGGGGACTTGTTGGGGACTAACAACTGGATATGCCGAGGTTGGTGGCTGAAGTTTCTGTCTGTTCAGAACCTGGAATCCAGGAGCTGAGGGCAGCACGTAATGCAGGTGAGCGCTACCTTCGCTTTAGCCATTGTAGGTGAGGTGCTACTTTGATTTAGCTGTAGCAGGTGAGTGCTACCTTCGCTTTAGCCATCGCAGGTGAGGTGCTGCTTTGATTTAGCTGTAGCAGGTGAGCGCTACCTTCGCTTTAGCCATCGTAGGTGAGGTGCTACTTTGATTTAGCTGTAGCAGGTGAGCGCTACCTTCGCTTTAGCCATCGTAGGTGAGGTGCTACTTTGATTTAGCTGTAGCAGGTGAGTGCTACCTTCGCTTTAGCCATCGCAGGTGAGGTGCTGCTTTGATTTAACTGTAGCAGGTGAGCGCTACCTTCGCTTTAGCCATCGCAGGTGAGGTGCTGCTTTGATTTAGCTGTAGCAGGTGAGCGCTACCTTCGCTTTAGCCATCGTAGGTGAGGTGCTACTTTGATTTAGCTGTAGCAGGTGAGCGCTACCTTCGCTTTAGCCATCGTAGGTGAGGTGCTACTTTGATTTAGCTGTAGCAGTTGAGCGCTACCTTCGCTTTAGCCATCTTGGGTGAGGTGCTACTTTGATTTAGCTGTAGCAGGTGAGCACCATCTTCGCTTAAGCTGTCAGACCACAAGCTCCTCCAGAATGGCCTCTGAGCACTCTCCAGGGGCTGGGCTTTGGGAATCTGCTAGGGCTTTATCCTCTCCGGCCCCATTTGTAATTGTGATAAGCTTTAGGAGCTGTCTCAGCTCTGAGCTATAGTGCCCCTATCTTTTTGGCTATATCGAATTATAGTTTTAGTTTTTGCAGTGCTCCATTGTTTTACATCTCTCCTTGGCTCTACTGCTAGGATCTGACATTTCATTGCTTTTAACATTGGTTCTTGTTATCTTGTTGGACTCTCTCTCTGGTAATGCAATAACCTCATTAACTAAAATTTTATCTGAAGCAGAGTCTCCATTTTCAGTTACTATCTGTAGAACTAACAGCTTACCAAATGCTGCAGGAAATAGTCTTTATAAGCTACTAGAGATCACGTAGTCCGAATGTAACTCCTGTCATATCTCCTTCCAGCCTTTTAGAGATGAGGACATTGAGTCAGAAAGGTGGCACTGGATCTGGGTCTTGTGACTTCTAGTATACCCCACTGGTACTTCCTGCTACTATGCCACATCTCTTGCCTCTCCCTCATCACACTGCAGTGTGAAGGACAGCCATTGTCCACGCTATTGAAGTAATACATGAGGGAGAAATTCAGTTTATTGTAAAATTACCTAAATAATATCTAAAAATACCATATGTTTTTCCATTTTTGAAGTAATACATGAGGGAGAAATTCAGTTTATTGTAAAATTACCTAAATAATATCTAAAAATACCTTATGTTTTTCCATTTTTAGGAAGAAGTAAGTCTAATTTGGGCTGGACACCTCTTCATCTGGCATGCTATTTTGGACATAGACAAGTGGTCCAGGATCTGTTGAAGGTCTATTTATAGCTTTAATTTTTTAATGTCTGTAATAAATATTGCTATTATGGAAATTATGAAAGTCTTAGAAAAGCCACCTGAGCCACAATGGCTTATTTAAAACATTAGCTCATCTAAATACTCATCTAAATAGCTCATCTAAATAGCTCACTAAAGACACTTAATTGTTCTTTACTAAAATGAATTAGGTGAGCCTGATTAATAAGATTCTATTTTTTAAATTATTTGAATAAATTAGATGGGCTTGATTAATTAAAATTTTATTTTTTTAATCATTTGAATTTTACATTATGGGCTTTTTAGCAAAAATGGACATATTAATTAATGAAGATATTATTTTCAGTTTTATGAGCATGACAGTTAAAAAAAACCCCAAAGTTCATTCTAAATCATAAATAATGTCATAATCTCTTAATGAGCACTGTACAATTTTAGACCTCATATTTCTCAATACTGTAATGAATAATTTTTCACAGATTGATATTTCTGAAATTGGGTTGTATCTTAAAATTCACTGTACATTTAAATGTTGGCATTTTTGTTTTTCCCGAAAATGTGTTAATGAGGGAGGAGATATGGTATTCATTCAGAGACACTTCTTCTTTTTTAATATAATTGCTTCTAAAGTAGAGTGAAGGTATGTAGATTTTTAAAGAAAAGTACCTTTTTATTCTTCTACCTATCAGGTACATTTTTACCTTTCAGGAAACCTACTGTTTACTTTTAGTATGAATTGAGTTTATTTTTAGTAGTGACAACCAAACAATATTAACTATTATTTTAATTTTTGAAATCTTTAATATATTTTTAATGAATTATTTTCACCTTGGTATATTCTCGATATGTGGAAGATATTTAAAGTTTTCATGTTTACTAGGCTGGTGCAGAAGTGAATGTGTTAAATGACATGGGAGACACGCCACTTCACCGAGCTGCCTTTACAGGACGGAAGGTGAAAATCATTCTGTGTTCAATGTTTGCTAGTGAAATATTTGGAAGAGCAATCACCAGTGTTTTCTGTGTTATAACCATCTGACCAGCAACTGAAAAAAGCCACACAAAAAAGTGTATGAACCAGCACTTTTTGAGTTGGAAAGTGAGGTCAAGTACTCAGGTCATGAGACTCCCATTCTGTAGCATCCCTAATTGGAGGTTATTCAGTCTCTGTGTACTCCAGCAATGGGGGAACTCTTGATTATTCCTTTTTTAAAAAACAGCTTCATTGACGTATAATGTACATTGCATAAAATTTGTCTACTGTAAGTGTACATTTCAGTAATTTTTAGTACATTTACACACTTGTACCACCATCACTACAGTCCAGTTTTAGAACATTTCTGTCACCCAGAAAGTTTCCTCATGCCTGTTTACATTCATTCCCTGCTCCTCTCCCAAGCCCCAGGCTATCACTGGTTTTTCTTTCTGTAGATATTTGCCTTTCTTAGAAATTTCTTAAATGGAATCATATTAACTTTTGTGTCTGGCTTCTTTAACTTAGCATTATGTGGTCAAGTTTCATCCATGCTGTGGTTTGTTCCTTTTTATAGCTGAATAATATTCTACGGTATGTTTAATACCACATTTTGTTACCTGTTTACCACTTATTAAAAAAGCTGTCTTTTTCCCATTGTATTGCCTTGGCCCCTTTGTTGAAAATCAATTGACCATCAGTGTTAAAGGTTCTGTATTTTCTATTCTTTTCCTTTGATCCGTATGTGAATCCTTACACTAATTTATTATGGTAGCTTTATAATTTGGTTTTGATATTGGGTAGTATAAGTTCTCCAACTATGATCTTTAAAAAAATTATTTTGGCTATTCTTAGTTCTTTGTATTTCCATTGTCAATTTTAGGATCATCTTGTCAATTTGTATAAAAACTCCTATTGGAATTTTGATAATGATTGTGTTGTCTTGAATCTGTAGGTCAATTTGGGGAAAATTGCGATCTTAACAATATTGAGTCTTCCAATTGATGAACATGAAATGCCTCTTTATTTAGATCTTCTTTAATTTTTCTCAGCAATGTTTTGAAGTTTTCAGTGCACAAATCTTGCACTACTTTTGTTAAATTTATTAATTAGCTTCGCCTTAATCTGTGGAATCTGGAATCAGTCTGGCCAGCTGATATCTCTGCTCAGTTTAAAAAATTTTTTTCTTTTTTTTTTTTTTTGGTGGCTGGCTGGTACAGGGATCTGAACCCTTGACCTCGTCAATTAAAAAAAATTTTTTTTTAAGATTTTTTATTTTATTTTTTTCATTGTGTATGTTTATGGCGTACAATTTATTGTTCAGTACGTGCATATATTGCATAATGATCTATTTAGAATAGCATATCTGTCACCTAAACATTTATCATTTCTTTGTGTTTATCATATTCAAGATCCTCTTTTCTGGCTATCTTGAAATATACAATATGATATGATTAGCTATTGTCACCCTAGGGCACCAGAACTTATTCTTCCTAACTGTAACCTTGTACCATAGTTTTGTAGAGTTCATCCCTACATCTTTGTATCTTAGCAGTCAGCCAGTGTTTGGGTAGTGATGGGTTCAAATACTCAGTTCCATAGGGCTTCTACTCTCTGCCTGTGGATCTGTTTGTAGGTGGAGAGCACTTTCAGAATTAAGGCATTTCTTCTGCCTGTGCTCTGACTTTCTGCAGGGCCCTTTCACCTTTCTCCCCTGTGCGTGTGGAGTTTCCCATTAGTTGGGGGTACATGAGAGCCTTACCTACACCGTCTCTGGTTCTTTCATTGCCAGGGTCTTTCTGTTAAGTTTCAGACCATTTTACCATTGCCCTATGAGGCAGGCAGCTGACGACCCTCCAGAGATGTCCATGTCTTAATCCCTGAAATCTGTGAATATGTTCAGTTGCATGGCAAGGGGAAGTGGAAGTTGCAGATGGAATTGAGGTTGCTAGTCAACTGACCTTAAGATAGGAAAATTGTTTTAGGTCATCTGGGTGGGTCCATTGTAATCACAAATGTCCTCAGAAGTGTAAGGGGGAGGCAGAGGAAGAGTCAGAGGCAGATGGAGAGGTGCCTATGAGAGAACAGTTAGAGAGATTGCAATGTTAAAGTGAAGGAAGGAGGATCAACCATGAGCCAAGGAATATGGACGGCCTCTAGAAACTGAGAAAGCAAGGAAATGAATTCTACCCTAGAACCTCTGAAAGGAACACAGCCTTGTGACACCTTCATTTTATCCGGCAAGACCATTTTGGACTTCTGAAATATAGGACTGTAATATAATTTGTGTTGTTTTAAGTTGCCAGGTTTGTGGTAATTTGTTACAGCAGCAGTAGAAAGCTAATACACTCTAATGGGAAAAGCAACTTCATACTACCAGACATGTAGGTTTTCCCATTTGTTTCCTACTGAATTTGCTACTTTTACTGATAATGCCTCTTGACATAGGTTTTTGCCTTTTGTTCCAAATCAAATTGGATGTCTGCGGCAGCAAAGCTGCTGGTTTTCACTGCCAGCTCTCCCTGCACTGGGCAAACTGTGGAAGTGGAGAAAGAGGTAATAGCCTGTGGCTAGAAGGCTGAAGACTCCTGAAGTTCTTACCTGAAGTTCTAGAAGTTCCTGTTGAGTAACTGCCTCTTAACCTGTTGTTTACCTTTAGAGGATATACAGCACTATGAAATGGTTAGTTCTGATAGTATTGTCCAGTTTTATACTCATTTTCAGGAAAACATTTCTCTGATCTTTTCATGACACCATAGCCAAAAGAACCCATAGCCTTTCATAATAATTTTTTTGGTTATTTAAATGATCTGGTAAATTAACTATGACATAGTGTGTATTTCTTGTTTATTCTAATTATTGACCATAGTCTAACATGATCCTAAAGGTTATTTTACAATCACATAACTGAAAGGTTTGTGTGCATTTATTATGAGTTGAAGCAGAATGAATTTTTTTTTTTTATTTGGCGGGTACAGGGATTGAACCCTTGACCTTGGTGTTGTCAGCACCATGCTCTAACCAACTGAGTTAATCAGCTAGCCCAGAAGAATGAATTGTTATATTATTTCATACTTTTCATTATTGTAATTACTAGATTTAACTTTAATGTAAATTATCCTGAGTTGACCCTGTAAGTATGTGCTAAGCATGTTTGAATTAGTACGTTTTACACCATTCCTGTCCATTTGTTCTTAAGTTGATATTTGTGAACCAGATATCGGATCTTACTAAAGCTGAGAAAAAAACTTTTATAATAAAACAATAAACAATAAAGGCAGTAGGTTAATTACTGTACTTGACTGTGTAGGGTTTAATTTGCCTGATTTCTGATATATGAACTGCTTTTTATTTCCCTTTATAGCTCTTCTCATTCTGCTCTATGTACCCAGGGAAGTTCTATTGCCATCTGTTCCCACAAGTCCCAAATCTACCCATTTTTGAAGGTGCAGCTCAAGTGCAGTCTCCGTAAATTATTTCCTAACTTCTTGCACCTGGGAGGAAGCTGTTCTTTTCCAGATTTCCTGGGCACATTACAGCACTTTAATTCATTTTCTTCCTTGTATTAGAGTTATTGTTGTGTATATCTTAACTCTAGCACTAGGTTGCATTAATCTTGCTTGCAAGGAGTTAAGACATTTCATTTTTTGTGTCCTCCACTAGCACAACATGAGTCTTACTGCCCATCTCTATAATTACCTAGATTAAATCAGTTCATTTATGCTCAGGTCTTCACAGGTTTGACCATTTCTGCTATTTTCTTGAACTTTGAACATGAGACCATGCTAAATTGAGCCTTTAGTTTGATTTGAGCATTAGCATATATATTTTATCTGTTGTATTAGAAAATAACATTTAGCTGGAGCTAAGTGGTTGCGCTACATAGGAAACACTAAAAAATTTATGTGCTCAATATCTGATCATGATTGAATTATGCAAAAAGTTTAATTTTTAATTGTACTCTTGAATTAAATTATCTTGTTCTGATGTGATCTTTTACTGTGAAGATTTTAAATGTCTATGATCCTGAGATTCTGTGATTTAATAAATAGAATGTTGAATTGAAAAGGTATTTGGTTTATTTTAGAGCACTATAAATTCTTGTCCTTAGGAATATATAAAATAAAGATCCCCAAATTTTGAGGGACCTTTAGGCTGTTCTTGGTATGTTAGCGACCCCTAGTGTTCCTTGGTAAAAATTAGTATACCAGAATTTAAAAATGTATTTAGCGTTCATTTCTTACTTTATTTTTCAGATCCAGTTAGAATTCTGAAGTTTTTATGCCTTTTATAATCAGTTTAAAATAGGGATATGACCAGTATAGTAAATATTTGGATTGTGGCACTGACCTGTATTTTTAAGCCGAATTGAGAATACATTTAAAACAAATGGTTCCTATATTTTGTGCCTCAGAAATTATGTATTTCTCACCTAACATAAAGAAGATTTATATGACTCTGGAGTTTATGTAATCCCCTAGGGTTCCCTAGGATACCGTTTCTCATGCTTACATATTGAAGGCCTCCTGTGTATCAGGCACTGTGCAAACAACTTGACATGTGTTGCTTCATTTAATGCTAAATGACCATCCTGAAATATAGGTAGAAACATTACCATTTGTTGTAGGATGGGTTCTCTGGGAAGCCGACTGAGATGGAGGTTAGTGTGCAGCACGTTTATCCAGCTCTTGTGGGATCGCACCTGTGGAAGGGAGTAGAGGGAGGCAGGAGTGGGCAGAGACTGAAGTCAAGCTGTAATGCAGTCTCAGGTGATGCTTTGCAGAAGAGATGACCCTTCAAAGCCATTGCCATTTGAGGTGAGAGGTTAGGCCTTTGTACCCCTGGGACAGTCAGTCACTGGACATGGGCTGCCCTGGGAAGGGGATGTGACTTTGCATGAGGCAGCTGGGATAATCCCTGAATTGGCTGACAGCTAAAGACTGCTTCCTGGGCACTCCCAGCATCTGGGGTAGTAAGAATAC